CTCCTCCTTCTCCTCTTTTCCTCCTCTGTAGATCCATCCTCTTTCCCTCGCCTGCCTGCTGCCTTGCACTTTCGACCTCCCTCCATGCTCTATCCTTGAGCTTATCCTCCCCCTTGTCTCCTTGCTCCTCTCGCGTGCTACCTGAGCGCTGTATCCCATCTCGATGTAGGGGCGCATGAGCGGGCAGTCGAGGAACAAGTCCTCCACCTCCCTCAGCCTCCCCCGTCGGTCATGCACGATACCCAGGCGCTTGCGCGACACAAACCGATGCTCGGCCTTGAGGAGAGCAGGCTGCGAAGAAGCAGCTCCGAGCTCCTTCCTCAGAGCCTGCTGGAGGGAGTGCATGCAAGACTCCTGCTCCACCCTCGACTTCTTGAGGCACTGCGCGTAGTCGATGCCTTCCTCCTCGCTCGCCCTCCGCTTCTCCAGCAGGCTGCCCTGCTGCTGGTCTTTCCTCTCCTTGAGCATGCTGTTGGCGGCAGCGTTCATGCTCAGGGTCTGGCTCAGGAGCTGCTGCAGAAGGGTCCGCTGCTGCGCAAGCTCCAACGAGTTGCTCAGAACCACTGAGCAGGTCGCTAGCTGGGCAAGAGGACGAACAACAGACGCGGCAGGCGTCTCCGACAAGACGGGGGAAGCATGAGGGTAGGCGTGAAGATCCAGAAGGCTCCTGTCTCGGGAGAGGAGGGGGAGGGAGGGGAGAGCAGAAGCGTTGCCGGAGGACCGGGAGGGGTCAAGCATCATCATCAGGTTGGAGCTCCGGACCAAGTGCTCCAGAGTCGGGAGGATCTCCTGCTTGTACTGGACGCCCGACATGGAAGCAAGCCCGGGAGGTACTGTGGAGGCTTGCACCTGGCAGGAGCAGGAGGCAGCAGCGTTGTGCTGAGCGCCGTCCATGAGCTGCTGGGAGGAGTCCTTGTGCATCTCAGCAGCGATAAGCAAGCTCTCGAGAGGCTGGTAGCGAGCAGGATGGAGGGAGGCAGAGGAGATGCTGCGGGAAGAGTGTGAGAGATATAGTGCGATAGCGAATGACTCACTCTATAGGGAGCTCGAGGAGGAAGTCGACTTTTGACATTGTGCTATGCCCTTGCAGCCTTGTTTCACCTGGATCTCAGCGTCAGACGCATGTGATGGTCAACGGAGCACAGATCCAGCGGCAGTGCGCGTGAAGATAGAGCGACGTTGTCTCGCGTCAAGCTTTGTCTTGCTAGACTCGAATTTCGTAACATTCACAATAACCTGCTAACAACTTCCCTCCAACGTGAGTTTGCTGACCCTTCCCTCCGATCTCTTCTCCGCTCTGAGCCTCTCGAGGGCCTCCTCTTCTAAGATTTCCCTACTCCTCTTCCTCATCTCCGGCGCGCTGCTTCCTGTCGCTCTCTCCTTAGCGTCTCTCTCGCATGCGGGGAGGGATACTGGGGATTGTCGGGGAGGGGAATAAACTGACTACTAATAGTCCCCGGGGGTTTGGGCCCTACCGTACCCAGGCTGTTGCTGCTCACGGAACATGGACCCCTCCTCCCCCTCCTTGCCCTCCTTCTACCCCTCATCCTGCCCCTCCTCCCCCTCTTTCCCCTCCTTCTGCCCCTCCTCCCCCTCCTCCCCCTCCTTCTACCCCTCCAGCTACCCCTCATCCTGCCCCTCATCCTGCTGCTCATCCTGCCCCTCCTC